GAGGCGGCGGCAGAGGCTCGGGCCGGGCGGCGGGCGAGCGCTGCTGGCCGCGGTGCTGCTGTGCCTGTGCTGCCGGGCGGCGGCGGAGCGGGTCCGCTACTCCATCCCCGAGGAGCTGGGCAGAGGCTCGCTCGTGGGGCCGCTGGCGCGGGATCTGGGGCTCAGCGCGGACGAGCTGCCGGCGCGCAAGCTGCGGGTGGCGTCTGCCAGTAAAAAGCAGCTGAAATATTTCACGGTGAATGAGGAAAACGGGAACTTGTACGTGAATGAGAGACTGGACCGGGAGGAGATGTGCGGCGAGTCGGCGACGTGCTCTGTCAGCTTCGAGGTGCTGGTGCACAACCCGCTGAACGTTTTCCGCGTCGAGGTGGCCATCGAGGACGTGAACGATAACTCCCCGACCTTCAGCAAGGATGCTCTGGACCTCGAAATCGGTGAACTAATCCCTCCCGGTGCTCGATTTCCGCTGGAGATGGCACGTGATGCGGACGTGGGAAGGAATTCGCTGCTGACTTATCAGCTCGCCAGCAATCCGTCCTTCTCTCTGGCCATGAAGGAGAGCTCCGACGGAAGCAAGCAGCCGGAATTAGTGCTGGAGAAAGCATTAGACCGAGAGAAGCAGAGTTTCTTTGAGCTGGTGCTGACAGCGGTAGACGGCGGGGATCCCGCGAGGTCCGGGACTGTTCAAGTTCGGGTCAATGTGACGGACGCCAACGACAACCCACCCGTGTTCAGCAAAAGTGTCTACGAGACACGAGTGGCTGAGAACCTGCCGGCAGAATCGCTGGTGCTGCAGGTACGGGCGACGGATGCAGACACAGGATCCAACGGGCGGGTCTCCTACTCGTTCAGCAATGTCCCGGAAGGCATCCGCGCGTTGTTCACTGTGGACAGCGAGAGCGGTGAAATAAGGACTCTGGGTCACCTCGATTTCGAGGAGAAGAGTAAATATATCTTCGGCCTGGAGGCGAAGGACGGTGGAGGTTTAGTGTCGCACTGCAAAGTGCAAATAGAAGTCACGGACGAGAATGACAACGCGCCCGAGATCACGATTCTGTCCCTCTCAAGCCCCGTGCCCGAGGATGCGCCGGCCGGCACCGTGGTGGCCCTTCTGAATGTGGACGACCCAGACTCCGGCGAGAACGGTCAGGTGTCGTGCGAGCTGACGGGAGAGGCGCCGCTGTCGATCGTGGCGTCGTCGGGCGGCTCGTACAAGGTGGTGACGGCGAGCGCGCTGGACCGCGAGCAGGCGTCCGAGCACCGCGTGACGGTGGTGGCCCGGGACCGTGGGCGGCCGGCGCTGTGGAGCAGCACGGAGCTGGTGCTGGAGGTGTCGGACGTGAACGACAACGCGCCGGTGTTCGAGGAGGCGGCGTACAGCG